CATTAATTCACTAAGAACAGCATAGAAAAAGCCAAGCTGTGATTGGGTAACAACAACATTTGGTTCATTCATGTAAGGATTGCAATTTTTCTGTGGCTGGATGGCAGGTAAGTCTGCATATCCTCTTAAGGCCCAAGACACACATTTTCATCCACATATCCAGAGGTGAAAGGTCAAGGGATCTCGCAGTGAATCGGTTTTTGCTCGGACCGTAACAAGAAACTTTTATTCTTACAGCCAGTTAATTGCACATCATTTTAAACTACGGCGTATTGCTGGTTTTCAGTCACGTGCCTTGCAACGACATACTAACTAAATCCCTCCAAAAAGGGATTCTATTGGTCAAGCACGGTGAAAAAAAGAGCATGTTAAAGCAGTTATCACAGACATTGTGCAATAAACACATTTCCAAACAGCACGGTTTACATAAACATCCAGACAAGAGGAAGGATTTGATACACATGGGTCACACATTGAGTTTGAGGTTCCTTAAACAATCTGTGTGTGGCTCATCAGCCGAGGTCAACGACTCCACGAGAGGGAAGTGGCCACATAGGACGTCTGTCCAGAACGGGTCGGTTATTGGCGCGGGCGTGTTTCGCCCTCTGTTGAAACGGCCCCCCGAGAGAGGCCGTTTCCTGCCTGTGTTTTCAGACAGACACGACGATGTCTTCATCGAGAGAAGCTACAGGTCACAGAGCAGCAGCGCTCCATCATGAGATAGGGAGTTAAATAACATCCCCGAGACCCAAACTGGGAACAATTGTGTCTGGATTCTGTCCAGGTTGAATGTGTATTGTTCTTCCAAACACCGTGGAGATAGCAGAAGTCAGAAGTACAGCCAAGGCCTTTCACTCAGGATACACATCCTCTGCCTGTCCAGGGAAAAGTCCAGATTAAAGTGAGTCTGTTTTTGCAGACTCAAAAAGACGGGAGTGACGAACCTCTAGACCATCCGCTTACGCTTAAGGCAAAACAACATGATGAAGAGGAAGGAACCCCGAGTGAAGGCCATGGAGAACATCCTCCAGCCAGCTGAGGGTCCCCAGGCCTCCTTCCAGTGATCCTGGGGTGCAATAGAAGAAGAAACGTGTATGGAGAGCATGCTGCCTGCTCAGCATGGGACTCATCTTGCCGTCCCTTGCATTCAAAGACACAACGTAGAGCGGAGAGAGAAGCGTTGCTAGAGATGGTTCCACGCCGACAGTGAACGCCTGGTCAACAACAACAACATTTTTCCAGTGAGGAGATCTAGGATTGGGGCAAATTTTAGAAGAGCATGAGAAATTTGACCAGGCTAACAAGGCTTCAAGGTTTATTTAAGCATTGGACTTTTCATTTCATCACTAGTACTTTCATATTGGTAATCAGGTTCTTTTACGTACCACATTGTTAAATGACTAACATTTTGATCACATCCTTAATCCTTGAAGAGCTTTGAGAATTGCGATCAAGCTGCTCATTAGAGAAGAATTGCAATATTAACATGCACTTCAGGGCTTTATTCACTGTTGGTTTTCTCGCATCAATGCATATTCAACTGTGATCACAGAGGGATGCAGTTGCAAATGATAAGTATATTGGATACAAATATACTGGCAGCTAAAACTACAGCACGTGTTCTTTTCTTGTATTTCTGCCCATAAGGCCCCAAATGATGATAACAATGACACAGACACCAATATTCCTGCAAAGCATCATTCATAGCGGAGTCACACTAAAGACATAATCTAAAAGCGTTGGAGAACAAATAAACATATGTGGAATATGTCGATGTAGCATGATTGATGCATAAATCTGCAGCACTTTCTCCTGGAAAGGGGCCTTGATCGCTCAGGCACACAGTGTTTGAGCCATTATTTGGAGTTTAAGTTTGAGAGGTTGGCCTGCCGCCCGAGGCACCGGGCGCCCTTTCCAGCCAGGCTGCTTTCAAAGGGTGTCCGCAAATGTAGGAATATCTGACGCCGATCCCTCCTGCTTCCTTAGTCTTTAATGCCAGAGATCAGACACGCCAAACACAGTCCGCGCTGTCTCCCAAACACACTTTGTACGATCGTCATGTCCTAGGCCTTGGTAAATGTCATCGGTGCCGCCGACACCACAATGCTCAAAGTCACAGTGACAAACAGCGCTCGGTTAAAACATCCGACACACAGCAACTGTTGTCATATTGAATGAAAATAATAACATCAAAAGCCAAGGAGGCAGCTACAATGCTTCCCTCAACCTATTGTTTTAAACTGGAAATTGTCACTAGGAGGAAGGCACACAGGAGTGTTTACAAGTGTCCCCTATCAGGGGACATGATACAGCATACGGTCTCTCCTAAAGTTACAGATTCATAATAAATGGATTGATGGTCAGAACGCCACAAGTCAACTGTAGATGTAGAAGATGGGAACATGAGAATTTTAATTAAAGAAAAACTGACTTTAATCCGCAGCTTATCATCTTAGTTTCATCCAAAACAACATGCTGGCACATAGAACTTTTTGTTGAATGTCTATTTCATTGTGAACAGATTTATTGCCTAAAGCTGTACACTAAGTTACAGGAAGTGGGCAACGCTTTAAGTGACGCCCATTTCTATAGTTATTATCTGCTAATAGCACTGAATATGTATGAATACAAGCACTCCGAAAAATTAATAATGCTGTATAACAATAATCATATAACACATTAAAGCTATAAAGTTACTTATACCATATAAGTATCATAATAAAAAAAGATCATATTGTGTCATAATTCTCATATTTTTCTGATGCATTATACGGTTTATTGTAAATTACTCTAAGTGGTCATTGCTTTAAATAAAGTGAAAAATAACATGATCCTCGCCAAAAGAAATGTCGGTGAGTGACCGGCAATTAGGAAATCTAATGAAACTTGTAAATCATAAGTCATCATAAAATGCTTAGTAATGTGTTGTAGTCATCATGGTGTATGAATATCTATGAGTGCTTGACTGCTGTAAGTATATTACCAGTATTTCTATGGTGCTTTGTAGACACGGCGTCATAAAAAGTGTTTGACGTGGAGTTTATTTTCACAAGAGGGATCAAGCTGGAGGTTAAACATACGACCTTCAAATGTCACAGTTGTAACCTTCCCAGTCCGTCGGCCTCCAAGCCCAAACATCAAATCCCAGGAGGTGTGTTTTTAAAAGTCCAGCCACTTAGTACATCTGGTTAAATTAGAACTTTTTGTAAAGAAACGTCAGAATAGAACAACTTTAATCAGTGCAGGCTGTTTGTGGTAAACTTTGCATGCACCCCTTGCCTCCCCTGGGCAACCTTTACTGACTCTCTACAACACTGCGGGGGTGATGAGAGTTCAGACGCACGCAGACAAAGTTCACCTCTCGATACAACAGAAATAATTGCGTTCAGCTGTGCGACACATCTCGCTGGTGTTTGGTTGCCAGTGCTATTTATTAACAACGACCTGAGAAAACACAAATAAATCCGGGCGGTTTAAACCAAATCATTTAATTCTGGACCACCCCCTCCTCTGTACCGATGCCGGCTGTGTTTGAACAACTGGATCTCATCAGAGGGCATGCGGCCAATCCGCCCGCCAGCAGCCTCAGACAGAAAAAAGCACAGCAGGTTCGGTTGTGGCTCGGTCGCACCGATCCGCGTCCTCTCCGGGATCCGTCTCGTCAATCACGCCTTCTGTTTTGGGACGTCGAACACAAGAAAATCCGCAGAGAATGAGAATCCTGACCCGGTCCAGAAAATCAGACTTTCTTATGTACGGACTTGCTTTAAGTATTGAGAGTCGACGTCTGATGTTCTGTTTTGAGTCTGAGCTCATTAGAAAGATCTGGATCGAGCCTCTCCATCGTCTCCGTTTGTGCCTCTCGGGCCCGCAGGGTCTGAGCTCACCTCTCTGGCCGCGCTGGATGAGCATCACGTGGGGGAAGAGAGGGGAGGAGAAGGGGGGGGGGGTTTGGATGGGAATGCAATGTGGCTTTCCACCGTAGCACATCGAAGGGGGGCAAAAGGTGCGTTCCCATTTTGAGAGGGAATGTTTTCACTGTAAGGAACGTAATTCCCCGCTATACATGGGGGGTGGGGGGGGGAGACAGGCTGGTGAAAATGTGACAGTCTGCGAGTCGGCTTTGCAAAATCTCCACCTGTGCGAAGGAAAGACTGTGGATTGTGGTTTCCCATGAAAATATTTCCAGAGCAGGTAAGCCAGAAAATTGCGGTCGCTGGTGTTGAAAGCTTTGTCCCACACAGTCTGCAGGTGGAATTTACATATATTAAGTCTTGAAAACAAGTGAGATTAATGGCTGAGCCCGCCCGCTCGCTCTCGCTCGCTCTCGCTTTGCCTCCCTCTCCCTTTTGCTCTCCACGACACAGACAGCTCCTGCTCCTGGTTGCTCATGTGTGGCAGCAGAGCGGTGTGGAAAACATATTGCTCCATCAATCACGTCCTATTCTTCTCAGGAGCGCGTTGCACTCGGCGGTTGTCTGAGACCGAGGCCACGTACAGTTACAGTTTTTTTTTTTAAATGCAAAAGACGATGAAAAACCCTTCAGCGAAAGTGTTCCGGAGCTCTGACGGTTAACCTGATCTCTCCCCCCCCCACTGACTCTGTGTTGGCAGTATCTTAATACACAGAGCGAGTGTGCGCCGCGTTCAAACAAAGCCTCCTTCTCCCCTGTGTTATGCCAATAGATCAAATGAGCAGATCGAGGGAGAAGAAGAAGAAGGCGGGGGGGGGGGGGGGGGGGGGGGGGGACCCTCGTTTTTCTACCCAGTTGGGGTAGGTTTTTAAGAGGTTCTCTACTTTCAAGGTTGTGGTTTTCAAAAGGGGGAGAACGAAAACCGGACTTTACGGAAAGAGAAAGGTTTCTCGCTGTGGGCCTACTTGGCCACAACCCCCCCGGGTTGTGGGCCCCCTGGGGCAAGTGCGCGTGTCACCCGTTTGTGCGGCAGAGAAGCACTCGGTTCGAAGCGATGGCCAAGTGCGAATGGGGGGAAACACTTACTCGTTCTTCTCCAGAGCCAAGAGCAGCTGCTCACCTTCCGCTTCAATCAGGAGCTTCAGCGATGCAGGGTGACTCTGAGGAGAATGCAGACGGGAGAGGGGGATGAAAGACATTGGTTATGGGGTCGGCCAGACAGCATTTTCATTGAGAAACGATGGCTTTCGGTTGCCCTGCTCGCTAGCGGGCTGTAAAATTGAGAAAATAGATGAAACATTTACTGTCAGTTGCAGCAAAATTAATCGTAAAATGCTTGATTACAATCCCGACGAAACGCTGCGAGAGGCGGCGGCTTTCAATTCAGTGCTCAGAAGTCCTGGTGAAGGGACTTTGAATGTTAGAACAAGAGCAGAGAGGATTAACTTTATGTTTCTATTCCCTTTGACATTAATCCTGCAGGAAGCCACAAGTCTCTGCGAGCCACGAGTTGCAGCCCCTGCGAGGGGGCCGCAAGTCGGATGAAGTGGCTGCGACTTGCACATCGCTTCTGTCAGTCGCACACACACACACACACACACACACACACACACACACACACACACACACACACACACACACACACACACACACACACACACACACACACACACACACACACACTCCTCCGCATGTCAACGCGTAACCGCCCTCCTCTCTGCGCTCCCTGCTCGGAAACACAACAACAACAAAAAAATGAATCATGCGTCGGCTCGCATTCCGCATCGCTTGGCAACAGCCGGCACACGCACAAAACAGCGTTTCTCTCTCTCTCTCCGCGTCTCACGACCACACGGTTCAATCTGGGTCAACTGTGGCAAAAAGGAGACGCCAAGTTACTTGCCCTTTGGCTTGCGACCCTTCGTGGCCGACCCGTGCTCCGCAAAAGGAGAAGAATGTTTAGTGGTTCATGAGAGGATGTGGAAGCCTCACGCTGCATGTTGTTTATGACGGTTTCTAACTTTAGGGGAAACGTAGATAACGTAGATAATGCACCAGCTGTTTGTCCTTATAATGTATTCAACTCAGCACTTAATTTCACATTCAATTATTAGTAGATCCTCCCCTTTTCTTTACAGATCTGAAGATTTCTTTTGTTCTTTGAGGGAAAAACATCCCAGAGAAACCTTGTAGCAGCACATCTGTTTGGTTGACAGAACAAATTAATTCACTAATGAATTGATTCAAATAACACAAGCCTGGAGACTCAAGCTGTTTTTTAAAAATCTCCCTATTTCCATAAAGATTATAGCACCAAACAGAGCAAGGGACCCCAGGTCTCTAACCGGAGAGTGATGAAGTGTTTCCTTCCGTTGTAAGATGCTAATATTGTGCAGCATTATATCTACTGAACACAACACAGAGAGCGAGTTTACATGCAATTCCATTTGGTTTTAATCTGGATATAAATGTACAGGTAAAAAAAAAAAAATCACATAAATGCAGGTGAATGTTCCTGCTTGTAAAATGAACGTTGTCTATCTACTTTGTGATCATTGCAATCAAAACGCTTCCTCACCTGGGACCCGAGCTGGCTGATGGGTTTCCAGTCTCCTCCAACAAGCTGAAGAGGCACCGTGGTCCCATAGTGCTTCTGCTTTGCTGTTGGTCTGGGTTGAACAGTCATGCTCAAAATATTCCCTGCGAAAAGAACACAAACACACGGTGTGAGAATACGCGGAACCAAAAACCTCAGAGCGGTCGAGCTTCACTTCCAAATGCTGTCCGTGTCTTAAAAAAAAAAACACCATCGCGTCCATCTGCGCGCACGCAAACAATGGGAACATTTTCTAAATGGATTTTGGACAAACAATGCTGATTAGTAATTCCTCCCCTGGTGTTCATTATCCACATCGGGACACGGCCTAACGGCACAGCTGCCTTACAACGCGAACCGCCACTTTAACCAAATCGCAGTGCTTGTGCTTGACGAATAACGCCCGTTCGATGCTGTCGTTTCATCACAACCAACAATTATCTACGCCGACAAAAAAACGCCATGTGGCCGATATGTCGCCCCCCCCCCCCCACACACCGCCCACCGCCCTTCCTGGACACACGTTCGCCTCGTATCGGTAGAACGCCATTAAGACGAGAGTACGACGCCACTAATCAGCACTCTCAGACATCGAGCAACGAGAACCACAGGCCGTGGTGAGAAACCGTGACCCCCGGCCGCCCCCCCTTCTGCTGCAGATCGCCACCGTTCAGCGGCGTTAGAGGGTTGTTGAGCGAGGAACTCGGGGGTTTGCTGCTGCTGCTGTGATAACTCTCAGGGCAAGTGTCCAGGATGCGGTGGGGGGGGGGGAGGGATTAGACGTGGCTTTGGGGCATTGTTCCCAGCATGCTTTTATCTCCCCTCTCTGTGTTCTGACAGGGTGTTAACCCAACCCCCCCTAAGCGTGCAGCCGGTGGATGAAGTGGCGGAGAGAGAAACAGAGCCGCCATCGCAACGAAAGCACAGCTACGCGTGAATGGGAGAGAAGAACGACTGCATCCAAGAGTCGGAGCGCGAGTGCATAGTGAGCCTCTGCAGGGACGTGCCTAATAGGGTCCCTGCAGTAATCAGCTCCCCGCAGCAGGGAAGCCATTCCAAAGCTTGGGTCTCTTACTAAAAAACAACAGGGGGGGGATTTAGGATGCTTGCACCAGTTGTCTATGCGCAAGCATCCTAAATCAAATGTTTGCTTGGTGTTTTTTCTCCCACTGATGCGCCGTGGAGCGTTTCCAAACAGCAGGGAGACAGATTTCAGTTTCGAGGGTGACGTCAGTTACGCGGGTGGTCTGAGGAGAATTCAGGGTGTGTTTTGAACTCGGGACTTTGCTGCTTCTTGGTTTTCAATCCCATTTCAAAACACACATAAACAAGAAACACACTCGAAGGGACCTGGATTATTATTACCGGCGCATTCAAGGTTCCTTCCTTCCGAGGTTCACATCACTTTTGTCTGCCTTATGACTCACCCAACTAAATGGCTGAGTCTGCTTATTATCCGGCATTAATAACCCAGGTCAGGGTTATTAATGCCCCCCCCCATCCCCCTTCCCCTCGAAAACCACAACTCTGGAGTTCTTCACAGAGCCGCACCAGCTGATAGCAGAGAGTCAGAGGTGACCAGCTCAGCGGTCCTCATCCAGCTCCGGCCTGATGATGGGAAGCAGACTCCAGCAAGGAGCAAATCAGCATCACACACACACACACACACACACAAATGTAAGCCGGAGAAGCATCCTCTCCTCATTAGTACTTGAAAAAGCACACTGTCTGGGGGAGGTGGGCACGCTGAGTAAGGGAACGCAGGACGACCGCTGTGAAAAAAACGGATGGATAAAAACAACACATGAGGGGAAAACAGAGAAGTTGACAGAGAAAGGTCAAGTCCACATTGCGGTTAGGAAAAACACACACACACACACACACACACACACACCCAAATGGAACAGCCCTTTTTGAGGCGTGCTTCACATCAACTTTGAAGACTTCAAAGTCCACAAGTGAATGACCGTTTTGTTAATGTGGTGTGCTATGAGATTTAATTCCAGCCTACAAATGGCGTAATATTAGTGGAAACAGCGTGCAGGCTCAGTTTCTTTTTCCACATGCTTGGGAGAGAAATTCGGCCCAGTCGGGTGTGTGGCTGCGCTCCGTGGAGTGTGTAAGTGGCTTTTGTTAGCTAGAATGTTATAAGCGCCACCAGAAGCATTAAGGGAGCAGTAAACGTGGCACCAGAGCCCAAAGCCTTATTTATAAGTTCAATAAAGGAGAATGTAAACAAAGGTCTTAATAAAGGGAGAGTCGTGGCCATGTTTTGGCCTCCCTTTATGCAGCAGCATACAAAAGGAGAGTTTGTGCCATTTATATTGCCTCAATAAAGTCAAATGCTAGGTGGGCGGATTGTGTGCGAGTGTTCGTGGAATCGGTATTGTGAGAGTTTGTTCTTGTGTGGGTGACTGTGATTCAGACCTATGACTGGATTGAGAAATTCATTTGTCGTTCCCCGGCAGTGTTGTTTAGCGAAAATAAATAAATCTATTATACGCTCTGTGTGTGTGTGTGTGACCACTGTTTGGCTGTTTTAGTGTGACACCCGGATAAAGCATGGATTAAGTTACTTGGAACCTGGGATCAATTAAATCGGTGAAGTTGTGTGATGATTAAAAACACAAAAATGTGACAACCACAACCAGATTTTTCGGAATTTTCTCAAAACGTGATATACTTTATATGAGAAGCCCATCAACTGCTTTCATTTCCGGTGGTAACTTCCGGCTCCAAAAAAGTGAAGCCAGTGTGCCTTGAACCTGAATTCTATCTGATAGAAAAATACAATAAAATAGAGCATTCTACAGAGATCGTGTGTACTTTACTTGTTCCTCATGTCACATCTGTTAGCAAGAAAACAAGATGGCGACGGCCCAAATGCCCAACTCAAGAGTCCACAAACCAACGGGTAAAGTCTTGGTGATTCGCCCACTTATTATTACATATGGTCCCTGTTTTGTTCACTGTTTTCCTTCTTGGTAAATACTTGAGACTTAAAGCTCCTCCAAAGTAAGAACTAGTAAAATGAAAAAGCTCTGTTTGAACTCCTCACAGACGTATGGAACTTGTGAAGAGAGGGGGGAGGGCAAGGGTCGGCCACGAAGGGTCACAAGCCAAAGGGCAAGTAACTTGCCGTCTAGGTCAGCGATTGGCATTTCGGATTGTGACCCCTTTAAAAACACAGGGTACTTGATGCGTTACGTTGGAGACACCAAAGGGCAAAATCATCTGAAAGAAGAATTGAGATGTTATTAGACAACGCAAGGAGATTTCTTTCCACTTTTTAACCAAATGTGTGTGTTTCAACTTCAATAGCTGGCCTTGTAAACTAGATCGGTGCTTGCTGGGCTACTCAACCGTTCCTAATGATATTTCACAGTGAATCTATCCGAGCAGCCCCCCCAATTGAGTGCATTCCCCACCGCCTGTTGGTCCCAGGGAACACATGACCTTCCTTAGCTCTTTGCACATGTCAAGACGTTCTTTCTTACCGCTCTTTCACAACTCCAGCCCTTCTCTGCCCATCCACCCGCCCCCCCCCGCCAAAAGAAACCAACAACTGTTCGGCTTTATTAAACCCAAGAGCCTGCTTCCATCGCAACCAACTGCAACTCGCTCCTTGACAGTCAGCCATGACATAATATATTCATGACAATCTTTGCTTTTCCAACCCAAATGGCCTGCTGTCTGCACACTTGATGAGGCCGTGCCCCCTCTTTTCCTACCCCCCCCCTGGTCCTCGCTGAGACGGGATACAGACTGCACATGCATAGACACATCAATAAAGAGCACTCGTAATCACAACCCCCCCCCCTCTTGCGTGATGGCTGGCGAAGGAAAAGCACACGAGGACACACTCCAAAGTCACGTTGAGAGCAATTCTCTCGGATCTTGAGAATGTAAGATTGAAAAACGGAAAAAAACAACGCCTTTGGCAGCTTGAATGACACTCCTTTGACTAGCTGGGTCCCCGGAATGGTTCGAAAAAGAGATGCAGGGGCGACGTGATTCCAGCATTGTTTGACATGGGTGGACGATGTTTGGAGGGAAATGGGCTTGAAATAAGAGCATGTGGAACTAATTAGGGAAGAGCGGAGAGTTCAAATTGGCCGGATTCGACTGAAGGTATGACACAACGAAGACTAAAAAAAAAGGTAAGAAAGTTCCCTGTAACGCGTTCCATATGAAAATGTGCTCTTGATAAAGCAAATCAAATACCATGATCACTGTCTGTGCATCAAGAGCAGTATGCACAGCCCTTGTTTTGTATAGATCTGAGGTCTTTAATCAGAGCCCTGGCTGGATTGGGGATGTGATCCAGCAAAGTTTCTGAGCCAGGTTGGTTGGTTCTGACATCAGCCCATGGGGGGGGGGGGACTTGATTTTGTTTATGGCTATTGTTCCTTTAATAATGGATGATTGACAGGTAAACCGCAAATTCAATTTATCCCCAATCAATGTGGGCAGATTATGCTAATTCAAACAGAATGGTGATTGGGAATAAAACGATGAATGATGCCTTGGGAGGAAGCAGAAGCTCTTTCATAAATGACCTTGGAGTCGGAGATAAAAGCAAAGAACTGCTGGCTTTCCTTGTTTCTTTCTCACATTAAACATCTTTTAAGTACGATGAACAAAACGATGAATCTCTAATTAATAAACTTGAACGTGAAAATGCCCGTCTCAGGTTCCATAGGCTCAAGATGTATTCAAATTGCTTGTTTTGATCAAGCAACAGTCCAAACCAAACATATTCCATATCAATGTATCACTGCAAATCCCAATTGTCAAATGGAAATTGGTTAGTTGGTTCAAACAGAAGTAATTTTCTAAATAAAAGAGGCTTCAATTGGAGCATTTTTTGTGTTTATAAAAATAATCTCTTTGGGACTGCAGATCCATCAAAACAAGCAATTTACGGATGTCACTTTGGGCTCAGGGGATGTGAATTTATCACAAGTATCTGACATTTTAAAAGACTAAAAATACACAAATGAATTGTTGTTGAAAATAACTATTATCCGAAGCCCTAGATAAGATCAAAGTGAGGAATGAAAGAAGCAGACGATCCTCATTTTGGGGAAGCAGGACTCCGTGTTCTGTTGATCGCTTGTCAGCGGATCTTCACCTTGCTCCTTGCTCACAGAGCAGAGATCGCGGGGATCACAGAGCAAAGGGGGAAAAGTGCCTGCTAATCCTGGCTTGACTCCACAGTAAACATCTGAACCATTGGCGGGACAATTATGTCAACACCTTGAGGGGGTGCTGTAGTAAAAACCTGTAGCTGACATCGTGGTAACGGGATTCTGCACAAAGTGGAGAGAGGGTCTCCTTAAATTAAATCTAACAGAGTAGCAGTGTGTCAAAAGTCACAGCTCTGACAGCTGTAAATGGTCGGATTTGTGGGCGGTTTATTTCTCCTCGAGCATCGTCGGGGTCATAATCAAGCCGTTTAACGCTGCGCTCCCTCTACTGGCAAATTGCTCCTTTGTGTTCTTTCTCTTCCTGTCTCCCTTCCCCCCACCGTGTATAATAAACCCATTTACTGTCACGTTAGGCATGATGTCAGCACATAACTACTCTATGGGAAATGGAAGATCCTGCAGGAAAAAAATCACCCCCGGCCCAGCGGGACGTTAATGTTGTCCGAGAAACCGGTGCAGTTAAGCCTGCCGGCGGGTGACACACACCCCCCCCGCTGCGTTGGCTGTGCCTGCTGCATTGGAGCCTTCCGTGCGTGTGCTTTAGCAACAAAAAGGTGAGAACTTCTGGAGCAGAGCTGTGCGAAAGCACGTGAATATGGCCGCTTACGATGGATTTTGTTCACAGGAAGCACATGTCTGGCTCACACCGGTAGGCTACAGAGCCTCAGCCCCCACCAGAGAGAAAGTGTGTGTGTGTGTGGGGAGGGAGGGAGGGGTCAGCTGCTGTGTCATCCTAGATTCTCAAGACATTGTACGCGGCGCAATGGCGTTAATCAATTAGTTGATCCGCAGAAAAACACGCAACACGCGTTACTCCAATCATTCGAGTCACTCGCGAGGCAATTTAAGACGTCGGCTCGATGGAATAATGAAAACAACTCGCCTAAACATTTAGCAATCGTAGAACGCTCAACTGTCTACTTGAAAACTTTATCTGTGACTATTTGACGCTTAAGCATCCGTTGCGAGTTCGCCCATGTTTGAGGAACATAACTCAAGAGTGTGACGCGCACAAAGCGACCGGCTGCACCGAAGCTTTTCCCGAGCCAATTTTGTTGGAATCCTCCCCAGGTAGGAGCTGGCCCGTCTTCCCTTTTCCCACTGAATGGAGACAGGATCTGGGTGGACGCTGCGTGCTGGGATGGAAACTAGATGAGGCGGATCGGAGGAGAAAACGTTTGCTTTGCAAATCTCAGAGGAAGACAAAGCTTGGATGTTCACGTGGAATCAATCCGCATGGGGAGCGATCCCCTCGGCTTCTAAAAGGTGTAAAGCTTGTTCGTTTGGAATTGCAGTGCCTGTTTCTTGATTCTATTATCTGCTCTTTTGGGGATTATTGACAAGTTGCAAACACAGTGAATAAATGAACGAGATCAATGTCAAAAGTATAACGTCGGTTTCTAATTGATTAAAAACTGATTTACACAAAGTAAACAGGCAAACGAGGTTAGTGACTGTTGGACTAATTAGGTAGACAGACATCTCCGCAACACCTTTAAGAGGTGACACTTTTGAATCGTCATAGCGGGAGAGAAAAAAGAAGCAGAGGGGAAAACCCATCCTGGAATCTGCTGACATTAGAAACGTCTTCGCCTGTTACAAACCCCTCAACCCGCTAAATCGAAGAGGAATCCAGTCGCTATTAGTTCTGCTCGTGGCCAGAGGCAGCGCTGCCTTACATTAAACCGCAGGTCGTTCACCATGCTACGACTCAAGCAGCCCACAGGAACTGCCCCCCCCCCCCTACAGGGGTTCACACTGACTGGGGGAGGGGGGGGGGGGGGGGGGGTCAAATGAGTCCGAAGGAGCTCTGAAGAAATCACTGCAACACATGTAGGGTCACAAGAGCAAATATCCCCGACCGCTTTGACTACCCTGAATATCTCCTGTAAAATATCTGACGCCGTCGGCACTCAGAATGGGTCACATCGTGGTCACAACGTCTCTCTCGGGTCCAAAAAACGTCCCAAACGTCTCAGCTCAACTTTCATTTGTCTGAGCGCGATTGAACGCGAGCCGCGTGCAGAACTGGAGGCCGACAAGAGTCACGTCGGTTGGATCAGTAGGACAAAGCTGGCTAATAAATACCGAGCTGACACGGTGTCGACCATCGGAGGCAATCACTCACAAAATGATCCGGAAAACATGCGCAGGACGGGCAGCGTGAGGAAAAATGACACGTCACACAATATGAAAGCACACGTGATGTTGCGTGGAGCTGAATCGCTCCATCTTTCCTTAGCAGCCTTGACTTCCTGACAGCTAAAGACCAAAGGTTTGCAAAGACCGGAGACAATGTAGAGACCCATTAAAGGGAGCGCTGGTGATTCTCACTTGGCTTTAACTAAGCTGCAACTTAAAAGATTGATGGATTATAAAAGATGATGCTGGTTGAGTTTTCTTCACACCAAAAGCATTTTACACCATTGAGTTGATTTCCCTTTAAATGGAACCCCACCTTCTGTGCCCTTCATCACACAACCGCCCCCTGCTTCCATTCATCTCCATCAGGCTGAATCCCCCCCCAAGCAGGTAAACATTGTGTCAGCAACGATCAGACGCACACGTGTACCGAGGATGATGATTTTAAACGGGTCCAATCCCACGAGAGCAAAACCCGTCAATGCAAACTTCTGATGCCGACGGGCTGCGGATGCATAAATGAACAACTTCCCTCGTGCTTTGATTACAGTTTTACACCTTTTTTTTCCCGAATTCATTCCCGTGGATTCCACAGTTGCGCTGTGACGCGCGTCTGCCAAATGTAAACGATTGATTTTTTTTATGTGGACCAAGTGCAGCTCCTCCACAGTTGGACATACTGTACATTGTCCATGGTTGATTGCCGCCCATGGCGGGGGACACTGATGACTGGGACATCAAGAGCCACGCCCCCAAAGGGCTGCAACCAGTGGGGCCAAACACACCAGCACAGACACAAACTCACTCTTGACGTTGCATTTGTACATTTGTCCCCAGCGCTCGTGTCAAGCAGCTGTTTGCCATGTGTTGCTTTCTGGCTGTCATAACCAACAGCACAATTTACAGGTCTCTCTACTTTACTTCTTGAGTTGAAAACACAATAATGCGACTTTTATTGTGCGTTTGCCACCAAAATAACATCCATAATTGAAAAATTCAAAGTACATTTGAAGTGCCAGCCAACTGCCCCCCCGGTGCTACCACGGATTACCAAAGAGAGTTTCAGCATCATCAATTATACAGAGTCTCTCGTCTCCTCTGAGGTGCACACTGAGCGGACGGCGAGCTCAAATGTGATGCTCCGCACACACGCAGATCTGGAGGAGAGAACGGTCGACTCTGTTACCAAAGATGTGTTACAGACGTGGAAGAAGACAAAAGCTTTCATGAGACATGATCAGCCAAAAGGTAAGACCTGCAAGAAGAATAGAATAGAATACACGCAGGTAGGCAAAACGCACTACATGCAGACAGGTAATTTTCCTTTGGGTTTCTAGGTGAAGGTTTAAATTTGACATTGGCTTGATAAAAAAAGAAATGAATTGCAAAAAAAGAAAAAAGAAAAACGATCTATGCACTACTTCTGCACAAAGATCTTGCCTACAATCAGCAGAAGCAAGACACTTCACATCCTTTTGACTTCTTACCTTCAGCAGATCTGGAGAGAACGGGGACAGAGGTACATAAAGCCTGAAGTGCTGTCAAAAGAACTAACTTCAGACTCCAGAGGTTCATGATGCCCGGCTGAACGTGACTGTCCAACTGTTTCACTGCAGCGCAACCATCACACAATCCAACAACAGCTGATGCGCAAGCCTCCCACCCCCTCAACAAAAAACAAAAAATGAAATGACTGAAATACGATCGAGCGTGTGAGGGGCGCTGTAGGAAATCCCGGGGACAGCTGATTCAACCCGGTGCGCTTTCCCCATTCACAGACGTCCAAGTCCAAAGCCGCCTGACAACAAAAAAAAACAAAAACGAAAGCGTAAATGAGGAGCAACCTGTGAAAAGATTGACAAAACACTCGACACAAGCCGCCGCTGTCTCGGTCGCCCACTGGAATGGCATCAATTCCGGGGGCAATTACTCGCGAGGAGTGTTTGTCTTATGCGCGGGGACCATGTGCTTTGATGGCACGCTGCGCGAGGTCCTAGCGCCGCCACCAGAGACAAAGCTGGCGGAAGTAAAGTGGCACAACATCCGGTTGGAGCTAGCAAAATAAAGCCCTCAAATGAGAATCGGAATAAACCTTTTTTTTTACAATAGGGTTGAAATTAAGAACGCACGGGACGAAAAAAAGACTGAAGTCTTTAAATCATATACTATTTTGTCGGTGTTTTGTGTTCATTCTCTCTTAAGATAGGTCACCGTAGAATGTATTATTTGTTTCATTGAGTTAAGATTATTACTGTTAAATTCCAGAAGACCCACACACTAAAATACGTATACGTGTAAAGAAAAGAGCTATAATCTAAACGTGTTTTATTTTGAAGGCAGAAAAACCTTAATTTCCGGACAATCTTTTATGTGCTTTTCAACTTGACTCAAATCGGTTTGGTAGGAGCTCACATGCTGAAGAAGCCCACATTAATTCTAAATTAATTTGTATTTCAGACTACAAAGGCCTCACTCACAGTGTATATGCATGCAACACAATGCATACACAATACAGAAAGTAAAACAATTCTTGTTGTATACACATATGCATGGGGAAGCTGGGTAATATATGTCTCGATCCTGTTATATCTCTGTTTTATTGTGTGATGATACGCGTGTGCTTCAGGTGACGTGCCCTAAGGCTCATTGTGACAATAATATGCATGAGGTGCGTAAAGAAAAGCATGGCATGCGCTTGAAAACGGGAATTATTTAAAGATATATGAATCAATGTATCCATGACACTCACACGCGGCTACTCAACTTGTGATCACAGCCCCAAAGGACATGGACATGTGTTGGACATGGCCCAATCCAGCACTACACTGGGGCTCAGTTTGTACATTGTGTCCTCCCTGCACTGCACCGCATGATCCAATCCGCTCAGGGAGGGAAAGAAAACAGGCCGTGGTCCTGAAAGCTGTTTCCCCAGAAACAAAGACAGAAGAAAAGGATAGTGCGTGTATCATAGTTTCCTGGTAGGAGCAGTGTGCTCGTAGAATGAAGACTTCAGTCCCAGTAGCACATCCAATTCTTGCCTAACATCGCTTGAAATGAGAACTTTAGGGTGCAGCCCGGTGTCCTAAAACCCAGATTCCTCTAAGGTCTTCTTTCAGGTTCAAATATGAAAGGAAATAAAGCCTCACTGAGGAGTATGTCTCTGCATGCTGATTTCACTGCAACTTTACAAAGCTGTTCTTCTGCTCTTTTTAAGAATCGAGATGCTTGAAGGAAGATAAGTGGCAGAGAGGAGCAGGCAGTAAAATATGAATTTGTGTTGGTGTGCGAGGGACTGATAACACAATGATAAATCAGGACTTCTTGGAAATTATTCCATCTTAACCTCCATTTTTTATGTCCATGTAGTTGTGGGGGAAAAAAAACAACCTTTCACCAGGGCTTGAAGACAAACATTTTATGGTCTCATTGGAAAGAAAATTGAACAGTAGATGTAAACACAACTCAAACATAAAATACACAGGACAAAATTCAAATAGAAAATACCCAAAGCTAAAGAATTGTATCGATTGTGAAACCCTCTGAAAATCTCCTTCTTCAAGCAGCAGTCATGGTTCCCAGTTATCTTGTCTTCATTTCAGAGAGACAGACCCAATTATGATCCATCATTAATGACGTCCTGTCATCCAAAAATACGCATTCATGCACGTGCACTGACAAGAAAAAAGGTTTACAAAAAAACAGACATTTCTCTTCTTCTGCAAATTTAGATGGATGAAACAGCTGGACTATGAAGAAACTCCAACGTAGAGGCTAATGAGTAAAATAACAATTAAGAATAATGAAGAGCATCTGCTCTGTTGTGTGTTATTTAAAAAAAAATAAAAATCCCACATCTCACTTCGGATTTATCTCCTGCTACATAATTTTGTTGAGCGGCCCTCTGAGCACGGATCTGGATCCAACAAATCTAAAATCTGCAATGGTGGGCCACTGTCCACGATGAGACAAAGACAAGGACAAAAGCTCCATTCAAATCGGCTCTGTGCGTTGACGGGACGTTGTCCAGTGAGAGGAGGTCACATTCCTCCATCTCACAGCCAATGGCTGAACGATGCTGAACTCTAATGAGGAAGACGACGGTTGAAGACTGTCCTAAAAAAAAAAGGGCCGGGGCGGCGTAATGAATGATTCTGTCTCATATCAGCGCTCAACATCACATGAGATCATGCGAAAGTGGCTGCGTGAGAGGAGCTCACCCTGCATCCCATTACATGCAGTGTTCCGGGAAGAAAGTCCATTTGCAATCAAGTAAGAACAAGATAACGCAGACGAAAAGCATGCGTCGCTGCTTTATATCGCACATCAAACTGGGTTTTATTCGTGTGTGATATCTGGCTCATGACTGATTTCATACGTTTGTTTTGGCCATGTTGCGTTTGTAATCGTACAGCTGTGCCCAGGAGACAGTCATGTTTTTCTCAAAAGACAATTTTGTGGCAGTCTTTAAAAAAAGACAACAGAAGGTCATTTGAGGAATACATTTCTTTCTACATAAGTGCATCTCATAGATTCAGTTTGCAAGTTAAAACGGTTTATCTATCCGAACAATGATGGAAACACTAAAACAATTCAACAGGTTTATCAACGGGTACTTTGTTGGATTATGAGATACATGTAGTCGCAATAAGCGACACGGGTAAAAAAATGTTTTTTAACATCAGAATATTAAGGTTTCACCCGCATGGGCCTCTTCGAAGGATCTGACCCTTAAGCGATGTCACCTTTTGGGTTTCTGAAAGATTACCCCGGGTTTATCTTTCAGGAAAACAGATGTGGAGAAATAATAAGTCATGGAAATACACCAGACAGACAGACGCTGTGCCCATGACCCACAACTGATAGTTCAACTCTGTCAGAGGCCACAGCTCACTCCATCAGTCTGTTACACAATACGACAGGCTTCCTCATGTCATCATCGTCTTCATCTGTTGCCATTCGTTCAGCTGTTGCTCCTTTGAAGAATCTGATCCAGCAGTTTCTGCAATCAGAAAGCAAAAAAAAAAAAAGATTAGATTACTAAAACACTCGGAGGCCACGGGTCACCGGTCGACCTCCTCGAAAACCCAACGAGGCCTTTCTTGCAATCCTGCATCCCACTCCTCGTTCACTGGCATCGCCCCCTCTTCTTCCAGCTGTGTTATCTGCCACAGCAGCGGTGTGCGTCCGTGGCCACGAACGCAGTCTGCAGCTCGGCTGAATGGCGGCACCGCACCGTGTCTCTCTGTGCCGCTGAACCCGGGAACACACAGGCCTCACACGCTGAGCACAATGAGGCTGTTCACGGTCCGTCTCCATAGTGACGGTGCACCGGGGGGGAAAGAGAACAAGCGTGTGCGATTCCTTTCAGCGAATCAAAATCTGTCCCGGGTAATAAATATAGACCATGCTGTGAAAAACAAAACAAAAAAAAGAAGATAAAACAAAACAAGTAACAACAACTTCTGTATGCGCAGGGGGGAAAAAGAAGTAAAATTAGATTTTTTAATCAAATTCCCAGGAGACGTGCTGAAAAATAGCAAAGCAGCGACATCTAGTGGATGAATAAGCTTGTTGTTCAGAGAGAACAAACAAGCTCAAGCAATCCTCCCACATCTTATATATTTAGTGTTACAATACATGCTTTTCTTATTCATCTGCAAATCTTATTTCTTATAGATCAGTTAATCAATAAAGGTATGTGAATTCATACTCTCAGACCTTGGTGTATATTACGTACGGTAATATGTCATCCAGCCCACAAGGCCAACTTGTCCGCCTCAGCAGAAGAATACTCAGAAACACACCGTGCACCCCATCACCCCCGCCTAGGTTTTTGTGTTTCTACGTTCTTCTCATAAATGTCCTTCGCCCTTGCGTGTTCCACTCAAAATCGTCTCACTTGACCACGATGGACTTGATGGGCAATTAAAAGACGTCATGTTCCAGAGCTGCACTGCCGTGAAGAGAGAACCCGACATCGTTGGCTTCATCGCTTAGGATGCTTAATTGAGCCTATCGAGGAAAGTTGTGTTATCACTTGCTTAATTGCCTGTGGGTTGTACACACAATTAATGTTCTGTTAAGTGCCTCGGGCATGTTGTTAACACTGTGGCAATCTGTACGGAGATTATTTGCTTTGTTCCATATTTTCAGGGATTTGGGGATTCAGTTCAATTACTGAGTGCCAGCTCCAAATAGCCAGGTGTGGTGCAGGAGTGTTTGCGCTAATGTAGGTTCATCTTATTCTATTCAGCCCCTCAGTATGAAGGTGTTTCTCCCATATGTACACGGGAAATCCTCTTATTTCACTCTCTGTTGTCATTATGTAATGTGTAACATGTCGCTTCTGATCTTCTCTTCGCTTTTTAGCCTCGGCACTGTTCCATCAACGGAAAAAGAGACAAAATATTTTTTGCATGGTTGTCAACCCAAATACGGGCTGGGTGAATTCATCTGTGTTTTGACAATTAAAGATTAAGGGATTACCTTTGTGAAAAGTCCCACTCGCTGCCTGTTGCTCAAACACACCTCCCTCCTCTTCTCCTCCTCCTCCTCTTTTTTCCTCTTCACCTCTGCATGCGTCCTGTAACACAACGATTAGGATTGGTATTATTTGGAAATGGTTCGACATGCTCATTGACTTTCTACGCACCCCTACTCAACTACATGGTTGAGTAGACACTATATTCTGAATAAATCCACAGTCCAACACCTTGTGAGACAAGGACAGGGAAAAAACGGAACATAATTAGTGCAAAAGTCTTGGCACAGGAAAAAAAAGCAGCCTATTTTGTTTGGATGTGTCACTGATACAGGCTCGGCCTTCACACGTGAAAGTAACGTGTCAGATAAGAACGCGTTTTGTCTGTTTTGTCAAAAAAGATGCATCTGACAGAATGAAGACGTTGAGACTCACCGCTTAGATCTCGGCTGCATCTCTTTGCCAGCAATGCCTCCGTCTTCGAAAAGGTTATCTGGAAACAGGAGCAGGTATGACACATTTACACACGCACACACATGCATAATGTTGATTGAGTCGAAGGTTAAATCACGGCAGTGGATCAGAACGAAAGGGTCATGTTGCAATCTCCTGCAAGAATAAACAAGATCATTTTTAACAGGAATTCCACCATCTTGACTGAAGACATTTTATGAGGAACACTCACCACGTTTCATACATGTACACAAATAAAAACTTGTTGTCTTATCTTTTATTTTACTTTCCAAGCTGTCATTGACCCAGTGGTGTGTTTTTCTGTCGCAGCCAGCAGAGGGCAGAGAGGGCTACTCATTTACTGTCGCACATCTTTAAATTCTTTATTGTTTACTGGGAAGCCTGGCACACTGAAAGGGAATCTCATGTGACAGGACATTGTGCCTGAGCTTAATGACATTTGAAGGTCACAGACAAATCTTTGCTGTAATCAAATGCTGGCAATCATTCTCACTCCCCATCATTGAACAAAGGAACACTTGCATTATATATATACAGTATCGGCAATAAATGGCATTTCTTTCATAAGTATTTTTTAAATTCTTTTATTGTATTTAGCCACAGCTTAGCCTGCCGTGCCAGCTTTCTCTCTCAGATATGCTTCTTTCCTTTGACATTTGAACGGAATAGAAAGCTAAGATGAAAATGTTTGTTTTATTACATTTTCAGATTCTAGGAGGATCACAAATATCATTTATGCCCTGCTTTAGCATTTACCCAGTACATTTAATGTATGTTAAATTTGTAAACACAATGTCTGTGACTTCATGAAAGTATAAAATCTTAAAGATGTGTTATGGATTAGTTGTCTTAAACTGCCAACTCAGTATCTTGTTTATCAGCTGAGGACTGACGCGAGCCAATATTATATATATATATAAAATTGAGCCAAACTACCCTCCCCTCCGCCCCTCTCGCTCTTTGTTCTCTGCCTGTATGTGTGTGTGATTATGATGTGGCAAACAGCCACCGCAGCTGCAACCGGACAATGGGCAGCATGAGAGAGGTGGCTGCTGGCACCGTACCGGTCAGAGAGGTTCCCCGAACACTGCGGGCTCTCCTCTGCCCGACGGCGGCGTCCGGCCGCGGGTCCGCCGAAGGGGCCAGGTCCCTCCTCTCCCGGGCCCTGCGCTCCAGCTCTCGCAGTCTGCTCTGGGAACGGCCGATGAAGTCTGGCCTGCACCTCCGCAGCGCGTCCTGCCAGACCAGGGGGGGAATAGAACGGAAACAACAAAAAAAAGCCAGCAGAAATGTGTCAATCCCTGTGACTGAGGTTGTGCCCTACTTCAGGGGTTGCTAGCCTGGAGGGGGGAGGTAGAGAGAGAGGTGAGTTTATACCTCTGAACTCACCTGTAAAGAAATAGTTGGAGGTGACCCGTCCGTTTCAAAAGCGACATTAAGCTGGCTGTGGCTGCGGATTGTTCGTCCATCCGGCGGCGGCTTCCCCTCATCTGTCACAAGCGAAGCAGCTGAAAAATCCAAAACATTTTGCATCTTGTTTACACCTCCGTTGGCTTCCCCCGCGCCCGGGCACAAAGCAGCGAGGCCCTCTGGGCCCGCCGTGACATATTACTTCTTGGCATTGATCAAATAGTCGAGAGTACGGAAGAGCCGTGGGTTTCCCTGGATGTGTGTGGATGTCGAACTCGCAACATTTTCGGCTAATTGGTACAAAGATCAATGTTTTATAAGGTGAAAAATAACGATTACGTGGGAGAGAATGAGGGAAGAAATAATACCAGTATTTCCCGGCGGGGACGGAGCAGAGTCCTTCCCAGATTTGCCATTTGGTGTTTTCTTCTTGCTAAGTTGCCTTTGGAGTTTGATATTCGCTATGACCGCGGCCGCGTTGAGGGCGAGCACCTCCTCCTGAGACTGCAGCGAGTTGGGACCTGAAAGGCACGAGTGCTTTGACGTGAGTGACGAGTGGGCACAACAGTGACACTTACTCAGCTCCCATTTTAACAGCCGTGAGTTTAAAACGATTTCGTAATGTCCCGCCCATATAGTGCAGGTTAACTGTATCAAACGCCAAATTCAAATGATCGCCTCGGGCCTCCTAGCGTAATTAATTGATAACACTCGTAATGAAAGTGATTAAGGAATAATGAATAATTTCATACAGAGAAAAGACATCACGAACAAAGAACAAGTCAGCAGAAAAAAAAATGCGATTTCTTCAGCTGAATAAGTCACAGGAGTATTGAAAGAACTCGCATCTTGATGTGCAACTTACTTATGACGACGTGAGATCAGACTTGGACTTGCCCCAAAAATATTTAAAAACAGCTGTGCATACAAATCACGGATGCCTACCTTGATAGTAAAGATTCAACATTTCGGGTAATACGCCCATTCACTTTCTAGCCAAGAGTTAGATCGATACCACTTTTGGATATGAGAAAGGTATTGATCATCTGATCTAATTAGGTCTATTTACCAAAATGTTGAGCACAATGAATTAACCTTGACCTCACTTATGTTCCCTCGTAAACCATAAGCCCAAATACGTAGATATCAACTTGGGTAATGGGGGATTTGGATTTGGGGCCTGAAGTACTTGTGAGTCTCCACAATGTGACTGTGCCAAGAGGCATTGGTCCCCATAGGATGATTACAACGACAGAAAACCGATATGACTGCTAAATTGCAGGATCTGGATGCCAAAATGGAGATTCTAACACATCCTAATGCATGTTTAGCAGCTTGTCAAGGCGAGAAGGGGGACTAGAATAGAGTATACGTGCAAAGAGACGTGCGAGAAAATGAAGGAAGTGGAGAACAATAAAGCGGCGGGGCCTGTGCCTCGTCATCGGCACAGACAGCCATGAGTCTCAGTCGCTGCCAAGGCATCCGATAATGGAGCCATCTTAATAAAATAAAACACCTATCAATAAGACATCTGAGTCGAAGGACCCTATCAAACCGGAGAGTTTGGCCCGCGCAGCGCTGCAGTGTGTGTAGCACCTTCAAGCCGGAACACGCAAATAGCACAGAGGAGGGGTATATTTAGAGCTCGCCATCCTTTGAAAATCAAGGGCGATCAGAGACAAAGGGGGCCTGTGTGCTGACAGGAAGGATCTGTCGGGGTGGGACAGAGAAACCTACCCGGGGCCTTGATGAGAGTCAGACCGAAGGACGCCCTCCTCGTGGCGTTGGGCTTGAAGGTGTCTGCCGCCGGCTGACCTGCTTCTTCGCCGTTGCTGTTCCTGTGGTTGGTATCGGCCCCCTGCGGGAGCCCAAAGCTCCGTTTCCTGCAGGCTGGTCGCGTCAGGTTCTCCGTGCTTGGCTCTGTGTGTCCAAACATATTGCCGTAGCAGCTCAGCGGCCTGTGCGGCCTGTCCGGTCTCTGTCCGGCCGTCTTCTGGGAAACCTCTGAGGGTTTGGCCGCTGCTACGTCGGGGGGGGGCGCACACAAAACACAGCGAGGACCTGCGCAGTGCGCCATCGTTTTCCACTGGATCCAGAGGGGATGCATGCGGTGCTACAGCCGAGTTTGGCCTCTTCGTGGAATCCAGGTGAAATCCAGAGGGCGCCGCAGAGTGCCGCGAAAGTTTCCGCGGACTCCACGTGCTGTTTTCCTCGTACACCCCCCCGGAGTAGCTGTGTCTGTAGTCTGGGCGCCTGGTCCCAGACTCTTCCCTGGCTGGACTGTAGCTCTCCCTGTGTTCCGTCACTTTGATGATGGTGGCCTTTCTTCTGTGGACCACTGTGTCCGAGGCCTCCCCGGCCGGCGGCGTCCCCTCCCTCTTCGTGCTCGAGAAGGGGCTGGAAAAGGTCCTCTGCTCCGTCACCTTGACAATGGTGGCTTTCCTCTGCACCGTGACCCGCCCGGAGTTCGGGTCCATGGGCGGAGAACGGGGTTCGGCGGGGCGGGTGTCGGAGCCGGGCAGACTGGCCGATCTGCTCACTCTCCTGGAGGAGATGGTGATGGAGGAGAAGCCGGCCTTGTTCTGAGGGATTAGTGTGGTCACAGCGGAGTCGGTCTGTATGTGTGACGGCTGTGAGACTGTTGCCCTCACAGGCTGAGCACCGCCTGTCCTGTGCAAAGGCACGTGGGACTTGTTTGCATTGGGGATGGGACCGGCAAAAGTCGTTTGATGCGTGGGAGCTTGCTGGAGGGGGACTGCGCTGCTTGTTGTCATCAACGAGGACCTATTGGTAACTGAGCTGGTCCCTGCGGGGAGCACATTGGACTGGCTGCCTCCAGGGAAAGCGGACGCCCTGTTGGTATTCCAGCCTCTCCTCAGAGCTTGAACGCCTCCACTTCGGTCCCCTTCAAGAGCAGGGAAGCTCCGACTTTCTGGCACCTGCAGCATGGGGGTGAAAGAGATTCTCTGTGATAAAGATCCTTAATTAAGCACGGAAACCCCATTCCACCCCTTCTGCTGCTGCTAATGTCTCCTGCTAAATGTTTTGCCATTTGTCAACACAATACAACATCCACCGAGGGTGCATCAAGCCAATTTGAGCTCATGTTTTCTAGTGATAAATAAAGAAAATGATGCATAACACATAAAGAATACTACTTTTCAACAGCGGGTCAGCTGTCTTGTATTTCTTCAGGGCTCTGCTGTTTGTTTTTTAGTCAGATGACTCTCCCCATGCTTGACACAGCCCCTGTAGCAATTGGAGCAGGACGAGCCAGCACACAGTGTGACTGATCCCCTCACAGTTTTACAATGAGACTCTATCCTCGATAGAAAAACTGCCAGGCAAGTAACAGCAGGATTCTCGTCCTGGCCCCAGAGGAGTCTGATGGTGTTTTATGGAGCATGGAGAAATGCAGATATGTGCCTGTTGTTGTTCTCCCCCAGCAGGGCTCACGAGGTGTCACGCCACCCTTGTCCCTCGTCCTTCAATGTTGCGTAAATATATTTTCTTAACAAAATATGGGACGTAGCCATTCGCACTAATGTAACACTGTGTGGCTGTTGACAATATTAAATATACAGGGTTAATTTTGGTTTCAGACAATCTTTTCCTCTTGAATCTTGAATAAGGTTTTGCATAAATGCTGCAGGAAACGGGCCATAAAATAAAGATGACATAAATCGTGTAAATAAGTCTTGAGGCATCATTTGAACTGCTATATTATTTCTGGTATGTTTAGCCACTTTTTGAAGCTCCGTGGAGGATCTTACTTGTAATTTCTCAATATTTCCTCCCATGCACTGTCTACGAACTGTTCCTGCTGCATGTTGTTTCCCTCGGCTTTTAAATGAATGGCTTGCAGCTCAACCGTTATCATATTCAGAAATAAACAACAGTGGCCTAAGCCTCAGAAAGCACAACCGTAGCAAACCACCGTAGGCTTGTCTGACCCCAGGCAGACACGGCGTTCACTCCCAGATACACAGACCCCCCCTGACATCCATCTTCTCCTGAGCTCACGTGAAAAAACAATTCAACCAGAGGGGGTCAGTTACCTGTTTGATAGCGGCAGAGTCTTGATCACGGGCCTGCCACGTCTTCACACACACAGCATTGGGACCGTTGTGACTTTTCTCCACCTCTCCATCTATGTGTGAGGGCAAAACAAACAATCCACTGTCACACTCCTCACTCATCGTGTTGTCTCTTTTACACGCACGCACGCCCAGACACACACACATATACGCACGCACACACACACACACACAACTCAGCCGTTCGTCCGGCCGTATGGCAATGTTGACAGTGTCAATAATTGACGTTGGCACAGTAAAGTGAATGCAGCCCCTCCCTGGAGCCACTTCTGTGCCTCCTCAGGAGACGAAGCAGCTTAGCCGTTGTGCCTCTCAGGCCATGACTGATACTCTATTGCCACCCTGACTCCCTGCCTGCGTGGCTGCATTTCCACCTGCTGCTGTTGCTATGGCGACTGGCTCTCACGTTGTGATAACCCCTCGAACACTGTGTAGATATTACGTGTTGGTTTTCTTTTCCCCTCCCTTTGAGGGAGGAAGCAGGGTACAAGGGGAAAATTGCACCAATTTGCAAATGTGATTACACCCGAAAAAACAAAGAATTGTCTTTAGAGGTGCTACAATGGCTGTTTCGGACACCTGCGTCCCTCGCTGTATGTGTCATGTCTTTCTCTTTAAAGGGCCCCGCGCTAACCCTGGCCCCCCCTGAAAGAGCTTCTCTCATTACCTTCGCTACCTCAAATTACAATTCTGTTCTGAATCAACAGCAGCTTAATATCACGGAGGAAAACAAAGAAGCGCGGCCATATGGCAAATACATTCTACACACCCCCCCCCCTCCCAATTCGTTCCTCATCCTCGGGAGTTCAGTAGTAGCAGTGTGAGCCAGGGGAAAGTGGCCAGTCTGTCTTAACATGAAGGACCTTGGAGCACAAGATCCAACCTTATTGTCATGTTCTCATTCAAAATCAGGTCAATTTTAAATTTGGTAAATGGGTGTGGTGGGAGAGGGCACTAACTGTCGGGTCAGATGAAAAGTGCCTTTGCAAGGGTTGACGCCAACAAAAGAATGTGGAGGAAAATATTTAGCCAGCCGGTGTGTCTGTTCTTGTTGGAATGTTTGCAGATGGAATTTCTGATGATTTCATTGGGTTTAGAATGGTGAAAGAAGACCAATGTATCCTGCATGAAGCTTTTGATTTTTTATTCCCCTCGGTGCTGGGATTAAAGCCATAGCCAATTTGTTGTAGATGCATAGAATCATTAATCTGGGGCTGAAAATGTGAATATTTATTGTCTATTTGATTGACTAGTAACCTCGTTATGATCTAAGAGCATCACAGAAAAGAAATACATTCATTATGTCAACACAGGCTGTGCATGTGGTTTTTGACAGCCTGCATACAGTTAATAAGGTCTCTGGTGCTCCAAAAACCTGCACTTTCTGTCAAAGTTCCCTTCTGCCATGGATAGATTGCTTTGATTTCTTCAAGTAGCCTGAGCCATGTCTATATAATCTATAATCTAACAGAGACAGGGCTGAGAGATCAAACCTCAGATCAAACTCAGTGAGTCAGGCCGCCGTGTTCAAAGATTATCCTGGGCTGCTTCTCAAATGAGTCTGCTTCTCTCCTTATCTTCTGTTTTCATCACCTTTTTAAATGGCTTCCTTCATCCTGCCGGGACATTATGGCACCACAGCTAAGACTGGTTCTGCATGAAATGGGCTTTGTTTGAGGCGGGAAGTGTTGGTACAGTCAGTCAGTGCAGATGGTTTGAAAGAGGACAGGAGCCAAACTGCTGCGAGGAGCTGATTAGCGGCAGGTAAACCCGGCCCCTGCAGTTACCCTGACCCGCGGCCATTTTTCTTTCTGGCAGTGATCAGGCACCTCACTTAAAACGGAGTCGCGGTGTGTTCAGTGAAGAAAGTCAGGGAACTTTCTGTGCACGAGACAGTTACTTTGTGTTTTGACTTGGTTATCTTGGAGGAAGTGATGATTGTGACGGGTTTCCCAGTTATTTTATGGCCCGTTCGCGATGTTATTCCTCGACCCAACCAAGCGGTTCTATTCCCTAAAGCCAGTTTGTTTTGTGTAGGTTCACGGCAATGTTGGGCTAAACAGTGCGTCAGGCTGTGACGCCCGCGGACAAAGAGCATGTGACCAGCTGGAATGAGGACGTGTTGAGGGCTACATACCCTGCAGCCTGTGGGCCGTTGCTCGATTCATCCAAATTGTTGGAGTGATTGCTTCTTTCAATTTCACCTACATGTATAAAAAGAAAAAAGAGCCAAAGGTATTAGACACAAAAGGTACCTATGGCATCAGCTCAACCCTGACATCCGTTACATTTAAAAAGAACAGCTTCACATGGTGATATCTTGCCTACAGTGAGATGAGAGAACACTGTTTGTTTGGTACGTAGGAAGCTAACGCTAGCCCCAGCCGATGATTAGCTTAGCCCGTCACAGGAGGTTGAACGGCAACAAAACAAACAAAACATTAAAAGTTGTATAATTAAGCCTTAAAGGGAGACTCTACCAGTTCTGGGGTAAAAACAATTGGGCCAATAGATATCTACATGAAACTTGATTTTACTTTTTCTGAAGATGCATGCTTAAAAATGAAAATGATGCATTATCTTATTAAACAGGTGCTTATTTGCATGCGTTCCCAATACAGAAATCAGAAAACTGGATAATACCATTTAAGTTAACAGTTAAGTTTGAATATCTGTTTTTTACCACACTGTTAGTACGAAAATACTTATCAACATATTTCTTGGTGTAAAATGTTGTACAATGGAAGGAATGTGCTTTGTGCGTCAGTTCAGTCGGCTCTGTGCTGCAGCACAGCAACTTATTGATTCAGAGGTCAAATTGTCAGTTCAGTCGGTAATACCCTCATGGAATTTTCTCTTTACATTGACTTGCATCGTCTCAGAGCACGAAGCTCAATATTTACCGTCACAGCTCCAAACGGAGTCGTAAACCTTTTGAGAATGCGTGGAGTTCCTGCCGCGTAAGCTGTTTTCACAGGACGCCGGAGCTCTGCCTTCTCGCTGGTAAACCCTGACTCGACTGCAAATGGCTCTCCGTGGCCTGTGCAGTTCTCTCTACGCGACAGTTCTCTATTACGCGGCATTGCCTCCATTACACAGCACTTTACTTTCAGACTTGCAGGTCTCACTAACGTGTCAGAATCACAGTCGGTGCCGAATCCAGAGTAAATCAGCCCAGCGTCTTTCCAAGGGCCGGGTTTTAAAAAGCAAGCAAAAACAGAAATGTTTTTTCTATGAAGAGGGTTTCTGTGAGAGAAGAATTATCAATCCTTCAAAGAAAATCTCGATTAAATCAAAGGAAGCCTTTCAAAACAAACTGGGTTACTTTTATTTCCGCGGGTCAAGACTATAACTGCGTTTCTATACTCTTCCAATCTCACTGATCTAAATGTAGAGGGATCCAGAAATGTCTTTAGCATCAGAAAACACTTGATGAAATGTCTGAGGCTTTGTGGGCTGTGGTGTGTTTTACCTGTCCCGCAGACTGGTCCAAAGACTGGTTTTGGTTACAAGCATCATCCACCCGCCTCACTCTTCTCTGGATTGGCAGCCAGCCGGTTTTGACCGGAGCGAGACAGCTGAGTTGAGCGCGCTCCTTCCTTGGGGTATGCATCATGTGAACTCTCTCCCAGCTTCCTCTGCGCTCCGGAGGAGAAAAGAAACCCGTTTGGAGGGACTCCTGGCTGCCCAGCGAGCTCTCGCACAGGCTGGGACTCCCACATGAAGACGAGGCCCTGCTGTAAGAGGGGACCTCCGGCCGTCTCCAGACAGGTCGGGTTGGCCCTGTGTCCGGAGCAGGCATGGATGTCGTCCAATCACTGAAAGCTGGAGCCTGGTTATGAACCGGGGCTGTGAGAAGTTCCCTCTCTATCCTCTGCAGATGCTCCAGCCATCCGTCCAGCTGGCGTCCTCCTTCGATGGCACTCTGGGGCCGAGGTGCACGTCGGAGGCGAGAAACCTCCCCTTCTGGTTTCAAGCTCTCCCAGTAGGACTCATCCCCTGATCTCCTCCAGCTCGGAGCTATTGGTAGGTGGGCAGCTGGCCTCCGGAGAGTCATCCCTCTGGAGCTCAGGTAACCACTCACTGCTCTCGGGTGTCAAGGCCTCAATACAGCAGAGGTATTAATGAGACCCCACTGGCTCATCGGGACTAGAAATGTGCTGCAAGGAATTAGGACCTGAAAGAAAGGCTGATATCCGAACACAGAGGAGATTTAGAAATAGGTGCAAATCATTTTGGTTGTTATTACTTACCAAAACACCCCTTTTCACTTGCATCCAGCTCCTGACTCCTCGGAAGTAAACACTGAGTTGAAGAAACGTCCTGGTGAGTACCGTCTCCAGTGCGGCCTGTCACGTTGGGAGGGATGCTTCACTCAACAAAAGAGCTACTGAGGGCTGAACATCCAATGCAAAGAGGGAGATGGAAGGAGACAGAGGGGGTGGGTGCGCCAATAGAAAAAATAGCAACACTTGTTGATGCAATGCTCTCCATTTAAACAAAGAGCACCATTGACATCTTATTTAACAAACTGTCTAATTTGAGGTTCGATACTTGTCAAGACACCCGACAAACTTCCTGACATTCAGGCATCCTCACAAGCGATAGAGCCTCGCTAATGAGCTGATTATCCGTGTTATTCCATGAGTCACTTACTGCTTCAGAAAGCCTCCTCTTCCTGCTGTTTGCCGTGATCTCGTGGTTGTCGGCTGATGATGAGGCGCTGCTGTCGTCCAGCCTCCAAGCGAGCCATGTGACATTTACAAGGCTTTCTCAGAAATGGGCCACTGTCCTCCCAGATGAGTAGCTGTGACCCACGTGATGTGACAAAATTTTTATTTTGGCTTTTATATAGAGGCAGTTGAACACATTTTACTCAAAGATACGACTTCTTCCCAAAAAATAATTGGCAGTGGTTTGGATGTTTAAAGAATTTCAGTGTTTCTCAGTGGATAAGCCGGCCTCAGATGTCCTTCAAAGCAACTTCAGTCCAATAGTCTATCAAAGAATGAGATAATAAAAAAAGATATCTTAAATTACTATGACCTGCTTCTAGACACCGTTTCAAGCTGAGAATCTACGTTGAGAATAAATATGCAGCGGCGCAAAACAATTTACAATACTTTCTCTGATAGCACGAAAAACAAATCAAGAACCCAATTCAGTTGAGACAGATTTGAAAAAGAGTCAAAAGATGGAGGTCATTGGATGTGATAAGAGGTTGGGAAGCGACACCGCCCTCTGCTGGCAACCCTCCAACACCACAGGTGGAGAAAGTGAGCGCAGAGGGGAGAGAGGTCACGGGTCTGAGAGAGAGGTCACGGGTTTGAGAGACTATAAAAGATGCCATAGATCCATAGAAGGGATTCAATATATATTTAATATAAAATTGAGCAGAGTCAAACTCAAGGCCCAGGTGCTTCACCGTGATGTCTTTTATTTAGCGACTGACGATCTAGTTCAACACAGAACTGCTCAGAAGAAAACATCTCCCTTTGGATCCTATAACTTCACCATTAAGCACAAAGACGGCAGAGCATGGATTATCATTATGTGGTTGAACAAAGATTACATTTGTAAAACCTTGACAGGCCATTTTAATGAATAAAGCTTTGCGTGAGAGGTTAGTTACTATTTAGCAGAGCAATTGTATCATTGACAACACTCATAGTTAAATTATGCCTCTGAACAAATAAAAAGCTATTTTGTCGAAATGATAAGAAATTGAAGCTTACTGCAGGTAATTGGAGTACCACCTCGCTTCAAAAAAGATTTGTACTTTTTGCTGTCTCTTCTCTGTGTGTATTTTCCATTGTAGAGGGAGATTTAATAGTACCATGAACATTAATCCTGGAACACACTGTAAGACCTTTGTTATTTGTTTTAGATATCAGCGTTTTGTGTATCTTCCTTCAAACATTATATAGCAAGACATAATCAAATCAAACAGAAAAAAATGTTTTTCTTCCCTCAACTCTCAACTAACCGTTCGGTAGAGCACAGTTTGAGTCATTATATATTTTGAAAAACATATTAACTCGATTAAGACATCTTACTTTTATTCAAATACTGTGTTGTTGTAAAAAAAATATCAGATGAGATTATTATTATTTTTACTACTTTTTTTCTTAGTCAGGACATTAAAGGTCTACATATTTAAACGATTTACTCTAAAATTAATGAATATAAATAAAAAAAAAACATGAAAAAAGCATAAACCATTTTCTAGGAAATACTTTATTTAGAGTTTAATAACCAAGCAAAGTCTCAACAGTGCATCCAACCACTTCCTCATTCTTGTACCTAACACACTAACACCCTAAACCTGTTTTTAAAAACTTTTCTCGTCTTTTCGGCGGCAGCGAGAGTTTGTCGGGACTCCTGTTGCACGAGCGCCCCCGAGGCTGAAACCCGCCCGCGTCCCCTTCCTCCCCCTTGCGGAGCGTCCTGTCACTGGTGGAAAATGGCTGCTCGGAGCGGCTCCCTGAAGCTCAGGCACAACTGAAGAAAAGAACGTTACAACAACAAAAAAGGAGTCGACGTTTAGCACCAGCGGAGGAAGGAGGAGGAGGAGGAGGCGGCGGTGGGGGTTCCACATCTGGACCTTCTCTACGCCACAGCCTCGACGCGGAGAATGTCTCGCTGGGTGCCCACTAAGAAGGAAAAGTACGGCGTGGGTACGTAACGACCGAAAGCCGAAGTGGAGCAGAACTTGCGCCCTCCATCGCTAGCTCGTCCCTAGCTCTCCCCGGCTCCGCCGCACAAGTTGCGGGGAAGGAGAAGGAGAAGTCGCGGCTCAGCAGATTTGTTTTCTCTTGTATGCTTTCGAGTGTGCGTGGATTTTTTTTAAATCGGTTTTGCCAAAACAAGGAATGTCCTCTTGTGTGTGTGTGTGTGTGTGTGTGTGTGCGCGTGCGTGTGCGCGTGGATTGGGAATTGTTAGAGGCGCGCCTAGTTGCAGCGCGCGCGCGCTGTTTCCTGTGTTACGCGGGGCCTTCGCCTCGCGCCACTTCACTTCTACGGATAACTTCTCTCAAGTACTCCCCCCCCCCGTCCCCTACTCTCCTCTAAAGTCCCCTTTTTTTAGTTTGTTCTGGTCTCTTTCTGTGTGTTTTCTGTCCGCGCTCCGGAAGCAGGAACCCTGGAAAACGGTGTTTCCGCTTTAGCGTCCGCCGTCTCTTGAGGAAAGCATCACGCAAAAGTATTCTGCTGCGAAAAGAAACACAAAGCCACGGGACCAACGTTCATTCTGCGAAGCACACGTGAATGTTTATTAAGCGTCATTGTCGCTCACTCGGCCGGCGGCTCGCTCGGTGCAGTTGTAGCATATACATTTACATTTGTGTAAATTGACAAAACAAACCGCAGGGGATTGATTTATGCAAAAAGTCCGTTGGTTCACTGGGTGATTTTTAGACGTCCTTTTTTTAAATACATTTCCATAAGTGTTCCCCAGCAGATAAGTACACAAGTTGGTGATTGAGAGATGTGATGGATCGTCCATAAAGGAACTGATGAAGGCAAGATGGACCAGGACGTTTTTTAATGCAGGCCTATTGGCGAGGAGTTGCATCCGTTGTTTATCTTTTGATTGGACTTGTTTATGGATACTGTGGACTACGAGGGCGACACAGTTCAGCCTGTACTCTAATAATGGCGGGTCGAATCTAACCCAGATTTTTATTTTCAGGGATCCCCTAAAACATCCCGGTGCCGTACGTTTTCAGTAAGCACTTTGACAAATCACATGTTTTTATTTTTGCTTCCAGAAAGGTTTTGCTACAATGGATTTGTTGTGTTTTTTTTTTTTGTCGCACGTAAGCAAACATACCCAACCGCATGCGTCCCGATACCATTAGTGACACTGAGGCCGTGCGGCTGGATGCTGATTCCGGGCCATGGACGAGTTCAGCGGGTTCCACCGATGCTCCGGCGGTCCTCTCAGACCACGGCGTTCCAAATGAGCGCCCGCTGTGTTGCGGCCCCCCCGCGCTCTCGTCACCCGGTGTGTCTCTAGGTGCGGTGCTCACAGGTGCTCACAATGGCGCTTTCTCGAGGGTAACGATCGCTTAGGGTATATTGTCAAACATCCACGAGATCTCGTAAAAGAGGGACGTCTCCCAAGAATCCTGAACGCAAAGCTGGACGAGTCGTTGGAACGTCGAAAGGCGGCCGCTGCTGGGCGGGGGGCCCGATGTGCTGCGGAGCCATTTGCACCTTTGACACTGTGCGTTTGGACCACGGAGCGCTAATGAGACCCTCGGTGAGACCTCTTGTGCTCACTGCGGATCTATTCCTGGTTCGGCGAGACTTTTGTCGTATCGTTTACCACTCTCATAATGTCCCCGTGGCTTTATTAGGGAACCCTCTCCTTTAGTCTTTTAATAATAAATGTTGTCTTGCATAGCAGCAAAGCAGTGATAATAAAGGGCTTTGTTATCACACTGGGAGATTCACACCACTGTGGATGGAGGTGGAAGCAAGGCCAGCAAGGAGTATCGCTACAAATGATATTGTGTGTTAGATTTGTGCCGCAGTGATAGCCGGCAAAAATCGAAACGACAACAATACAAGCCATGAAGTAGTCGTGCTTTTGGTTCCTTTTTTATTTTAGAATTTTTTTTTTATTTCTGCTTTTGGGTTCTGATTGTCTACGTGGCGACCAAAAGCCCCATCAGCTCATTGGCTCTTTTAGATGAGTTTGGAAATAGAACAATATTAACATATTTGGATTTTATCGTAACATGATGGTGGCTTTAACTACAGATTATTTTCTTTGTGTGACACTTGTTTTGTCCATCTTTTCAGCACCGGACGTGATGTAAATGAAGAGTTTTTCCTCTTTGCAGAAGCTCTATTTCACTGTCCTTGTTTGGCACAATTTGATACAGTTATTGATCCTTGGTGAAATGACGACAGAATGGCTTTTTTTTGCCAAATAGTTGATTTTCACGTTAAAGTGCTGTTAGAAATGAGCACCCGTTGAAAAAACCCTCATGTCTTCTATCTAGAATCCTCCTTAACCCGCCAGAGGAAACAAACCTTATTGCTTTTTGCATTGTTTCTCAGGATGGTTCCCAGCCTGTGGCCGTAATTCCACTTCCTTCTCCAAACAATGTCTTCCCTGCCTTTGGCATGTTCAGAATGCTGCCTGTCAGCGCCGCTTCAAATCGGCCGATCTGGTGAATCCGCATTCGTCGGCGTCACCGAGGCAGCGAGGCGCGTACACAGGGATCCATTTTGTATATTAAATGTAAAAAGGTTCAAATCAATCTCTTTTGTTTGCCCTTGAGTTGATATCACTCGTTTACGCGTCCGCTCCCTTGCCAGATGTCGACCGGCGTGGCCTTTTTTTTTTTTTTTTTTTTTTTTGAAGCCTAGTTATTCTTGCGGCATCTCAAAAGGGATTAAGAAGGACCTCTGGGAAATGTCTCTGAGCCGTCTCTCGGGCTTCAGTGATGAATTAACCAGAAATCCTTTTTCGATGCAAATTTCCAGTGTTGTCTCATTAATTCTGTTTCATCAAGATGTTGCCGTTCCTTAAGAGAGACTTCAGAGGGTTGTGCTTCTGGAAGGAACCAGGGAGCACGAAGCAACAGGAGGATTAACTGTAACGCACACGCCGATGTTGAGACGGGAAATTACCAACTTCGGGATGATACACTTCCCACCTCTCAACGCGCTTACGTTTGATCTTTTTTATAGCGTTTTCTTTTTTAAAGTCATGGAACTCCGCTCACAACTTGCCGAAAATGCTCTCATTGTACAAAACAAATGAATGCATTACAGTTTCCCAGCTTGCCGTTGCGGTTGTGGACAGTGTGGAAGTAATACTTCCTGTTGGTCGGACCACGGACGGATCTAAAGGGAACAGTTGGACACACGACGTTACGCGTCAGAGGCTGTCGGACATTTGGGAAGTTATTATCGAATGAGTTATTTCCATAAAGTCTTGTATACATGCAGAGACGGGGAGGGGGAGTCTGGTCGTTGTCACCGAGGCCACGTACCCCGTTTCACGTCAACAAGACATTCGACAATATTGTAACGACGCGCTTGCAGGAGCAAGCGGGCGATTTATCTCCTAAACTAAACTAAAGGAAGAGAAAAAGCTGACGGAAAGACGGGAGACAGAGTGCCTTTTACCTGGAGAGAAATAAAGCGGCTGATTTAGTGGGAAGGAGCCAGGAGGAGGAAGGAGGTGCCGCGCAGACAATCGGTCTTGTCAGGAGGGAAGCAAACCGCTCCGTCTTTGTTTGGCGCGTGTTGGTGTTTATGACCAGCCGCCATTTTGCTCATAAATAGAACCACGCAAAGCGAGTTGGCTGCTCTCCTGCTTT